AGGGAGAATGCTTACCTCAGTGTTCTTATGACTCTCTCTTTGATGACAGCAGTTTGCTCATCTTGAATTTTTCTGGTTCCAACTGGGAATAGTCCCAGTTAGTGTAGCTTCTTGGAGCTTCTTGGAGTGTGTCTAAGTGAAGGTATAGAAGGAATGGTGAAAGAACTTGGAAGAGGAAAGAATACTCAGCACTTCTCTCCCACCTTCATAGCATGTTATACACACTGAGCTTCACAGAATCTCATGATGCAGTCCACGATACACAAGTGTGCTTGTTTGTACAGGCAAAGCACAGCTGATGCTCTTCTGAGGCCTGAGATGAAACTACCTTGGCAGGGAATTTAGAATCCAGGCCCTGTTTGCTCTCCCTAAGAAGCAACACAGCAGAGCAGACCAAAGGCCAAACATCTTGTGTCCAGCAGCTGCCAGTGGTGAAGGGTTACAACAGCACCAAACACCAACCCACACAGAGAGATGCTTGAGACCCTTTCCCTGGTATTCCCTTTTCCTGAATCTGCTCATCAGGAATGTACAGACTGGAGGCTTAAGTTTCATCGTTTCCTGGAAAGGACATCTTAAGTGAGCCGTGGAAACAGATGACTGTGAAAGTAAGAGACAAGGAAAAGTCTGAAATACAGATGTGGAAGCAAGCAAAGAGTAGCCAGGTAATAGGAACAGAGTGAAATAAAGCTTAACACAAGCTTTCACTGCTATGTGGGCTGCATATGTACTTTAGACCTTTGGTCTCCCAGTCACCAAGGACAGCCTCGTGGCAAACTCTGTCAGGAAGCAATGGCTTCTCTCCCGAGCATGTGAGTGGCTCAGCTGCCTGTGTATTTGTGTGCAAATCACTCCTTCAAGTGAACAGTGTGCAAATCACTCCTTCAAGTGAACAGTGTGGCCACAATGGTGGGCAATGATTGGAAAACCTTCTCAGAGGTCTGGGAACTTTGCATATTTCATGCACGCCTTCATTTACCCTTTTTTTTCTTCTTAGAGCAGAGGATACATGTTTTCCACTTTCGTCCATATTAGGGAGGCCAAAGTACACAAATGTAAACATGTTGTATGTATGTGTGAATTCAGGGAAGGAGGGCAGGAACTGAGTTTGAAAGACAAGGGGTAACTCAGTTAGCAACTGAGGGTAACTTACAGCTTGCAGGAGCTAGCTGCATTTCCTGACAGGAGCAAAACTGTTCTCACCTATCATCCATTCTGAAATTGCATTGCAAAGCTGTGTCTTGCACTCATTCGTACTGAAACATGACCGGGGGAAACAAGCACAGAAGCAGATACACAAGGCTTGACTCAGCAGTGAAGAGAAAAATAAATAGGGTTTAAGGAAAAAATAATGACAACTCTACATTCTTTTTAGTCAAGAGATCATATATACAGTGCTCTTTTGAATAACTAAGTCTACATTTCAGCCAAGGTAATGACTGCAGCTTTGAAAAGCCAGTAGGGAAAAAGTACGTGATTTGGTAAAAAAATAAGGATAAAAACATTTCACCTTCCTCCTTTCTTTAAAGGTCTGGTTAGCAAAATAGAACAATCAGAAAGAGAGTTAGTGCAGATATTTAGAACTTTTAGGACACTGTAAAAGGCAGCTGAGAAAAGTGAAAGAGAATTAAGAACCTGTGAATAAGTAAGTAGCTAAAAGAGAAGGCAGAGGCAAAGGAGGTGAAGGCATACTGTTGGCTGATAGAGGGCACACATGAGGGATGAGAAATATAACCTGTGCTTTACTGCATTTTATTATTTTTTAGGTTACTAAGATCTATCCAGAAGACAGAGGCATGAACTTTTCTGGCTATCACTCAGCTATTCAATGAAGGGTACCACCTGTGACGGACGCTCCATTATCTCCAAAAGTCATGGCATCCATGATAGTTGGATATTAGGATGCTTGCAAGAATGAATTAATAGATGCTTGCACAGTACTCTGAAAATCTCAATTTATAGGATAAGCATTCATTTCAGATTACTTTTGTGCGAATGGGTTTCTCCTCTTCACTCTCCTTGTGTTTTCTTTGCCTAGCTATAAGCGCTGGAATGAGGGCCTCCTGGTGGTGGAATCTGTGACAGGCGGGAGGAGAGCACATTTCTTAACAAAGCAGTGAAACGGCTGTTCTTTTACCTCTTGAGTTAGCTGTAATGAAATAAAGAAACAGAGAGAGAAAAAGAAGTGTCGGCTTTGTCAACAAAATATAGGTGAGGTATTTAATATCTAGGATTCTAAAAGAAGGGACATCTTTAACTGCACAGTACTGAGGCAACAAGAATTACCTCATGCTGAAAAATTTAATTGGGCAGGGAATTAATTTCAATATGCCAAAAAAGGGTTTTAAACTCAGCCTCATTTAGCCCACCAGGTGTTACCGATAGGTAAGGCTTTATAAATCCTATATATTCGTAACAACCAGGCAATGGAGCAACTTTCAATACAACTAAAATAAATACTCAGAGTAAGCCTAGAGTAAGTCTACAGAATTCACCAGTCAATGGGGTTTCCCTGTAATTACTGATATAACAGAGAACAATAATAATCCCCCAGCGTACATGAAAAAAAAAAGAGAAACACTATGGAGTTAAAAGCAGCTCTGAGAACATCTAAGCTATAGATTCTCTATCACTTTTGAGCCAAAAAAGCTGAAGAAGATGCTCCAAATTAGGCTACCAAGAACAGCTTGGGTCTATTCCAAAATTTCCACACTGCCATGTGCTACAGCCCTATCTTCATCCTGTCAATCTCTCAGCCTTCCACCAGTGTTCTCAAAGATGTCCTCCTGGGAACACAGGCAGCTTCCTTACACAACGACTGTAACATACAGGTTCTTCACCATTTCACGGGCTTTTGCACTTCCTAAGTGACCTCTGTAGTTATTGTCCTGGGAGAAAGACTGTGTGCTAGGTGTTCTTTTCCCCATAGAGTGACAGGAACAGAAGGATGCATACTACTACACCATAATGCTCTTAACATAGCTGAAAATCACATGTCAAACTATATATAAATATATATATGTATGTATTTGCAATGTACTGAGAGACAATGCTAGAAACAGCAACAGTCAGTTCTTGTCTCGGTACCTACCTGATGTAGGTGGAGAAACAATGATGAAAAGCTGCTGCCAAAATACCCTGGGAGGTTGGTGCAGCAAGGAAATTCCACAGCATTTTTCAAGGAAATGGAGTCTGGTGAGAAATTAAATTTTGTCAAACCATGCCGAAGAAGAAAGATTCCTGAAGCAAATCACAGCAGAAACCATGACACTGAACCTCCTTCTCTTAGACTCCAGGAGAATATTTCTGAACACTTGTTGACAAGCCCTACCAACTATGAGACCATTCCCACAGACATTTTTTTAAATTATTCACCGTGGGTGCAGCAACGAGGCACAGAAGGAAGCATTCACCTCCCGTGCCAAGGCAGTGGGGATGGGCTGCCCGGCTTTTTCCAAGTCTCTGCTCCACAGAAAGAGGCAGTAAGGGAATCACTCTGAGACCCCAGATGCATGAGACAGTTTAGTTTACAATAATGACACTGTATTTCAATACTCATCCTCATACAATTACAATACTCATCCTGCTCAGCACAAGGAGAACTCAAGCAACAACTGTGCTGAAACATACAGGTTTCTTCTAGGAAGGTGAACATCACAGAAAAAACCACCCCCACCAAACTGAGCTCAGTCCCTCACTATTCTGTATGGTTCTTGGCTCTTATAAGCACCCAGGTGAGCTGCCTTTATGTTCTCATTTCAAAATTGTAATTCTACATGCTCTCAGCTTTCCTTCCAAAGTTCTTGCCCTCATTTGTCTGGACCTTCCTTTCACCTTTCTTACCCAATATATGCACACACGTGTGGGTATTAAATGGTGATAGAAGCCACAACTACTTCACAAAGGCCTTGCTCTGAACAGCGAGTTTTTATTCCACCTTTAAGGGTGTCGACTTCCCACCCCACACTCCATTATTATCACTTTTCTTATTGCAAAAATCACTGCTTTCCAGTGCACAGACTCTGCTTTACTGAGTCTGAAAGCAACTGTTTTTATAGCATGTGTCCTGCAAGAAACAGATATTGGTTAGCTGGACTACCAAAAGATACAGCAGCACCAGAAATTTTTCTTGTCTCAAGTCACCAGATTTAACTGTGCTATTTTTCCAATTCTCATTCCAAGTGAGCAATTTTCTGGTTCACTTAAGGCAGGGTACCAGTTAAGCACTCTGGGAATGAAGTCTGTTAGATTTTTTTTTTTTCCTGGAGTACTAATACATGTACAAACAAAATCAAAATGTAGGTGATTCTCTTCTTTTCTTCTCCTTTTATCTGCCTGCCCCCCCCCCCCCTTTTTTTTTTCCTTGTCTCTATTTTTCCCTTTTAACTAAAGTCAGCATCTTAGTACATCATTAATCCAAAATTTTTCAGGAAAGCCCCAGGAAGTCCTCAACATAAGCTTTTTTAACAATGAAGCAAGTAACTTCAGATTGCTATTCTAACATGTTGGAGAATTATTTTATAGTTTAGGAGTGGCATTTTGCCTCTGTAACAGAAAAAGTGCTGGTGATACATGTTACATACCCATGCCATTCATTCAAAATACCCAAACCAACTGCCACTGCCATCTCCCATGGAATACAAGCCAGCAAGTAACACAGGGAATCTAAATTTATTCCACCATGTGCTGAAAGGGAGGGCTTTGCAATGTGCACAGAGAATCAGGATGCTGGGACTGCTACAAAGGAAGGTTTGTGAGGAGCTGCTGCTGCTGCGGAGTCAGTCCACTGTCCCTGGAGGTGTTTGAGGAAAGACTGGACATGGCACTTTAGTGTCACAGTCACGTCCACATGGTGGTGTTTGGCCAAAGACAGGACTTGAAGACCTCAGAGAGCTTTTCCAACCGAACTGACTCTGTGATTCTGTACCATTCTGCTCTCTCCAGCTCCTCAGCCATCATCCCCTGAACCCGAGCAGTCCAGGACTCCAGACCTCCTCCACTTCTTCTCCAGCGTTCAAAGCACGGAAGGGTTCTCTGCCTAATGGAGTTTAGTTATTTATCTGAAAAAAATAAACAAACAATCCCCACCAAAAACATTTTTAACAACTCTTCCAGGCGATTCGAGCATTTTAGGGAAGGTGTTAAGGAAAGCGGCGTCAATACTGCCCGAGTCTGACGCAGCCCGCGAGCAAGGCCGACCCCCAAGCCCGCCGCCCGGCACTCCGCCCCCGTCTCCCTCCAGCACAGGAGGCGGAGCGGAGCCGCGGATCCCATCGCCACGGCAACGCGGCGGCCGCAAACCGCTCCCGGGACACGCGGCGGATCCCACCGGCGGCGGACACGAGCGCCGGGAGCGGGCGCGGCCCGACGGAGAGGTGCGGCCCCCCGGAATTAAGGCGAAGCTCGATGGAACAGCCCGGCCCAACCGCCCCCGCACCGCGGGGCTGACCCTACCACTGCGGCGCGGGGGGGATGGGGGCTGGGGGGCATTCTTCATCGGCTCCGCTCTTGCCGAGCCCGCTGCTTTGGCCAGTGAGATGCCGGGAGGGAAAACAGAACAAAGGAGCATCCCGGTGGTGGCCCGTGCGGGGCATGCCGCTCCGCGGGGCCCCCTTTCCAGCTCCTCGGCGTGCCCGTGGGGTGGTACGGCCCGTGCCCCCCCGAGGTGCCGGGCCGCGCGGCGCCGGCGGTACCGGCCGGGGGCGGGGGGCGGGGGTGACACCTCGCACCGTCGTCCTCCGTCCCCGCCCGGCTCGGTCACGTGGCGCTGGAGGTGCGAGGGACGCGGCCGTGGAGGGCCGGTGCTGCCTGGTGGCGGTGGCGGGGTGGCGGCCTGGACCCCCCCAGATCGCTGTCTTGGCCTGAGAGCTGGGGGGCTCTGCCTGGGGAGAAGCTCAGTGGAGCGAATGCAGGGCTCTGCCCGGGGAGAATATGCCTGGGGAGAACAATGCTGCTCTCGGCCCACAGGCTCAGACCTGTTGTGTCTCTCCTGCTCCTTCAGGAGCCCGCCTTAGGCCTGGCCAGCAGCGTGCAATGCCTCTCTTTGGGAACTCCTTCAGCCCGAAGAAGACCCCCCCCAGGAAATGGGCCTCGCTGTCCAACCTGCACCTGGTGAGTGCCAGCACCTGCGGTTTGCTGCAGGAGCCATGTCTTGGTGGCAGGGGTGGGTGGCTCCTGCTGTGAGTGCCGTGGTCCTTACAAGGGCTCCCAGCTGCTCCTGGGGCAGGAAAAAGTTCTTCACCCAGAGGGTGATTGGGCTCTGGAACAGACTTCCCAGGGCAGTGGTCACAGCACCAAGCCTGACAGTTCAGGAAGTGTTCGCACAATACTCTCAGGCACATGGTGCAGCTCTTGGGGACTGTTCTCTGCAGGGCAAGGAGCTGGACTCAATAATCCTTGTGGGTTCTTTCCAACTCAGTATATTCTATTATTCCAACTGTGCTGCTTTCTTCCTGCAGTGCAGCACCATTCCTGATCACTGTGACTGTACATGAAGCTAGAAATGGAATAGCTCAGGGAAGAATCATCATCACCCCACCTGCAGTCCAGAACTGTGTCACTGAAAACTTCTCACCAGTGGTCTCCAAGTGCAGGGAGATGAGTGTGTAGGTGGGAGAAAGTGCAGGGATGGCAGTGAGAGGAACCAGTCCTCAACTGCAGCAGTACGTGACCAAAGTAGGGTTCCAGGCTCCAGGGCCATTTGGACCAGCATCTTCCACTGGAATGCCAGTTACTAAGAAGTGGGAGAGCAGGGGGTGGCTCTGGAATTCTGTGAAACTCTGAATGTGATCTTCTCCCTGCAGCTGGATAGATCCACCCGTGAGGTTGAGCTGGGCCTGGAATACGGCACCCCCTCAATGAACCTCGCTGGCCAGAGCCTGAAGTTCGAAAATGGCCACTGGGTTTCAGGTAGAGTACAGCTCAGCTTGCTCTGGTCTGAAGTAGCCACGGTTGGCTGACAATCTGTATTTTGACCTCCTTCTTTCCTCCAAGAATCAGGAGGCTTCGTGGGGGATCGCAGGGAACTGCAGCGCTTGCGCAAACGAAACCAGCAGCTAGAGGAAGAAAACAACCTACTTCGGCTGAAAGTGGACATCCTGCTGGACATGGTGAGCCTTTGCCCAACTCCTGCCTGCCCATAGCAGTGGGGATACCCAAGCAAAGGGTGCTGGGTCCCCTGAAAAAGGCTGTTCTCCATGCATCCACTTTCTGCTTTACCCTGTCGTGCAACACGGGTGTAATGGCCAAGTGACTGTGGGAGTAAAGCCTGATCCCCTCTGTGAAAACAGGGGAAGGTCCCCCCACATCAGAGCTTGTTGTGAACACTGTGGCTGAGGAGAGAGAAGCCCCTGCAGGTGCCATGTCTCCTGTTTCCCTTTCTGCACAGAATATGGCATTTTTCTTGCCACTCTGTCCTCTGCCCTAACTATGAAACTGAGTTACAGCCACTGTTTCTGGTCACAGAAGATTAAAGCTTCCAACTGCTGTCATGAGGGATGATACATCTATCCTATGTGTAAAACTCTGGATGAAAGAATTTCCAGGAAAATTCAGAATTTCCAGAAATTCAACCTTACCCAAAGATCACAGCTTTCATGCTTAAGATCTGGAGAGACATTCAGGGAAATAGAACACACGTCTATTCACAGTTAATAAGTGATTCGGCCTTTATGTCACTCTAAACAAATATTTTATTTCCTTACTCTTCATGTGTTTTAAAACTGGAAAATGGCTTTTGTGGCTGGAACACTTAGCAGAAGCACTAGCTGCTCTCCAGGTTTTTCACGGGATCTCAGTGAAACGTGACATGGCAGCTTCCCCTTGCTCAACAGGAACAAATTGCCTTGTGCAGGACCTTTCTTGTGGCTGTAAATCTCGGTTGTGCTGTGAAGCTGGAAAAGCCTCACAAGCTTTTAACTCCCTCCTGTTGTTGTTTGCTGTGCGTTCCAGCTCTCTGAGACCACCGCCGAGTCCCACCTCATGGAGAAGGAGCTGGAGGAGCTGAAGCAGCACAGCCGGAGGAAGAAGTGAACAAGAGATGGCCAGGCTGGTTCTGGGTCTTGGCCCACAGGATGCTGGGGCTGGCTTGGGCCTCCCAGCCATGTTGGTACGGTGTGGAGGTACTTTGTTTCACGGGACCACGAGCGCCGAGATGCCTCCAGCGTTGTGCGGTGCCGTGGGTACTTCTAATGGCTGCTTTGGCACGGCAGCGCTGTTATTAACACGAGTTTCCTCAGAGCACTTTACCTTGCTAGGTTTCCTCACCGCAGCCCAGCACGGGCGGGGCACGTCGGTCTCCTGAGGGCTCCTCCTCGCCTTCTCTGCTTACCGGAGCGGGGAGAGCCCTGCCCGCCCCCCCGGGAGCCCGCGGGTGCTTCTGCAAGCCTCACCGTCTCTGCCTTGGGCGAGCAGGATGCTGGAGTTGCTCGTTCTCGAGAGTTTTGCATATTTTATATAAAACCTTGCAATTAAAACCCGCTTTCTGAGGGTGTTTGTGACGCGTCGCGCTCTGCTGCGGGGGCCGGGGCGGAGGGCGGCCGCTGCTCCTCCGGGCCGCCAGGGGCCGCTGCCTCGCACGGGCTGGCTGGCGGGAGGGCGGCCGCGCTTCCGGCGGCGCTCTGGCCGCCGCTCCTTCCGTCCTGTCTGGTGGCGATGGCGGCCGCGGCGTCCCTGTCCCCGGAGGAGCTGCTGCCCAAGGGCGGCGCGGGCAAGGCCGAGGAGCTGGAGGACGAGCTCGACGAGGAGGAGGAGGACGACGAGGAGGTATCGGGGCAGGCGGCGGGGAAGGCCGGGCGGGCGCGGTGACCCCGCGGGGCGCGCAGGGCCGTGCGGCGGGGCCTGACGTGGTTGGTGTCGCCCGCAGCTGGACGAGACGCTGGCGGAGCGGCTGTGGGGACTCACGGAGATGTTCCCCGAGAGCGTCCGATCGGCGGCCGGGGCTACGTTCGACCTGTCGCTGACGATAGCGCAGAAGATGTACAGGTGAGGGGGCGGCGGGCCGGGCCGGAGCCCCTCGCAGCGGGCCCGGCGGGCGGAGCGGGGGCGCGGGCGGCTCCGCCGGCTTTCGCCGTGGCTTTGGCCGCTGGTAGCGCAGTGCGGGGCCTGCGGGGAGCGGCAGAATCACGGTTTTTGTTTATGGGCGGCTTGGGAAGGGCGGGGATAAGGGGACACCCCGGAGCTCGGGGTTGAATTTGGAGGCAAGCTTATGGCTGAGGCACGGAAGGGAAACGCGAGATTGTGCCAGTAAGAACTGATTCCTAGGGTTCTTTGTCCTTGACAGATTCTCTAGGGCAGCTCTGTGGATTGGGACCACCTCCTTCATGATTCTGGTTCTTCCTGTCGTCTTTGAAACCGAAAAACTGCAGATGGAGCAACAGCAGCAGCTGCAGCAGCGACAGGTGAGGCAGGAAGGCGCAGCCTGTCCCTGCGGAGCTGGCTGGCAGTGCCTGCACCTCCCGCTGGGAGCAGCGCTGGGCAGCCGGGCAGAGCGGTGCACTCTCCTAGACGCTGTGGCCTCGCTCATCCCACCAGCTTCTCTGGCTGGGTGTTCCAATTAGACAGTCCTGCTGATTCCCAGTGTTAGGCGGGTGGCAATGCCTGGCAAGCACAACCTGGCTTTTACCAGCCAAAATATGCTGTGAGGGGCTGAAACAGGCTGTGGTCGGGCACTGGCCTCGGCTGTTGCAGCAGGCGCGGGAATGGTGCTGCAAAGTGCCACCAATACCTGTGGGAGGGGGACAGCATGGCAAGAGATTTGTGTCCTTGAAACCCCTCAATCAATGGTTTTCTTTCCAGATCCTCCTCGGACCCAACACAGGGCTCTCAGGGGGAATGCCAGGGGCCCTGCCTCCGCTGTCTGGAAAAATCTAATTTGCGGAAGCTGAGTTGGATTCATATCAAGTGGGAAGACCTTGCGATTATGATATATTGAACTGTTGATTTGTTGGGCCAGGGCATTTTTTCTTTTTATTTTTGGTTCTCCTTTGGGACATTGACCTGTTCGTAACGAGGGAGGGAAGCCCCCCTATGGACCTGATGATGGCTCCTGTCTGCCCCTCTCCTTTAGAAATCATGAGTATTTCCTTTTATTCAATCACTTGCCATAACCAGTTACAGACTTGGACCGGGGGAGCTCCTCTGCCAGCTTCTTGTCCCCACAAAACACCCTGGGGCACAGGTCAGGCTTTGAAAAGCAGCAGGCAGACACAACAAATGCTTTCCTGCCTGATTTGGAGCTGAAGGACAGTGGTGGCAGGAAGTGTGACTTTCCCAGCAGAGGAAGGAGGGGTGCCGGTGGCAATCAATACCCCACGGAAAATACTCTTTGGGAAGATGCGTCTGCAGAAACACTTTCACTGCAGCTGTGTGTGTGTGAGAACCGAGGGAGCAGCAGGCCAGGTTTGAGACGATCACATCCACGCAGATTCTCTGCCTCATAAAGTAGAACAGACATCAGCTGCGTATTTTTTTGTATGGAATATTAAATAAATCCAACCTGAGCAGTGTGGTTTTAATAGATGTCCTTGAGGGAGGCTCAGTTCTTTCCGAGCTGCTGGGGATTTCTGGGTAGGGATCTCTCCATTTCATGCACAGCCTGGCAGTGCGTAAGGGACTGACATGGCCTTGTCACCTTCAGAGGGGTGGGGAAGCCGCGTTTGGCTTAAGGGAATTCTCCGGGAGGTGATCCTACCTCAGCACCGGTGTCCACCGTTCAAGGTTCTTAAGGCACAGAAACGTGGTGGTTTTATAACCAAAGAAAAAAAAATTTATTTATCCTTTACATACTTTGTTACAGAACAATTCAATTGAACATACAGAAGTGATAGGACATTTAAATGGAAACTTTTTTTTCCCATTTTTAATATTTGGTTAAACAAAATACATCTCTGTAAACAAACCCAAGACAAGGCTCTAACAAAAACCAAACAAGCAAGAAAACAAAGAGGGGCTTCCCCGCTCCCGAGCAGTGGGACTGGACCAGCTCACCCACTCCCGGGCACAGCAGCCTCACCTCCCACAGGGATGTGATCATACACTTTCCCTTTACCTGAGCAGCTGGATCACACTGTTTCTCCCCCGGGAAAGCAGCTGACGTACAAGGAGAGGAAAGCAGCCCCAAAGTATTTTAAAACATCTTTGCATATTGTGCACTGATCCATTGGCTTGCAGTTCCCATGCAAACAGGGTTTTTCTCCAAAGTGCAACTTCAATCAGCATAGAAAATGTTGCTGTTGAGATTTATATTTTCCCCTCTTGAAGAAATGGCTTCAAGTCAGGAGCAGAATGCCTGCAGGCTGAACATCCTGCCTGGAAAATGTTTAAAAACTCTGCCAGCTGGTATTGGTCATTGGAATGTGTTACGAAATAGGACTTTTTAAAACGTAAGAGCCATTTGCTCTTGACTGTGGGAGGCTGTGCTCAAAGGACTGCGAAAGTGCTTGCCAGATGTCCAGGGGTCAGCAAACACCATCGTCCTGTCGTCGTGTGGCCTGTGTTCTCTGTTGGGACGGTGCCACTTGGGTGGTCTCTGAGGTTCGAGCACCTGCTCATGCGTTTGCAGAGCTCTGAAGAGAAAAATAACTGAGAAAAGGTCATTACAATCCCTCCTTTCACCAGCTCAAACATCAGTAATGAGTTTCCTGCATGATGGAACAGGATCCTTCGAGCTCCATCAGGTCCCAGAGGTTGCTGTTCAACCAAGACATGTAAAGATGGAAGCAAACAGCAGCTCAGCCAGGAAGTGCTAAACACAACGAAGTGAGTTCCAGATTCAGCATTTCCTCCTCCTGCCATGGAAGGCATGGCTGAGCTACAGCTCTCCTGGGAGACTGGGAAACAGCTGGTGGAGATTCCTCTTAGTGTCTCTGTGTCTAGTCTCTCTTCCCCATGGAAAGCAGAAAAAAGCAATTCACCCATTAATGGAATGTTTGTTGGCCAATGCTAAAGGAGAGGTTGGTTCAGCTACCAAGCCAGGGTGTCTCCAATGCCTGGAAGTTCTGGTGGACCCTCTGCAGCTCCCACACCAGCAGATGGTAGCAATAAAAGGGCAAAACTGACTGCTATAAAGGCTTCCCTCCTCAGCCCATTTTTATTTTATAACTTGACCTCTTTCATTTCACATTACATCTGTGACTGTGGGCTGGACTTCTGGAGAGAGGAAAATAAAAGGGAATTATTTTCTTTGGAAACCTCTTCAGCTTTATTCCTCTCTCCAAGGAGCCCCGAAACTACTGAATGACCATGCAGAAAACTAAAATAACTGTTAAAAAAGAGTAAAAAAACCCCCCACCATAGCACGAAGAAACCCAAGCAGACTGTGGCCTCTCTCCAGTCCAGAAACTTGATACTCCTCCGTCATCCTGTGTTTGCTGTTTCCATGTCACCTTAGCCAGACACACGCTGCCAAACAACCACTCATCACATACATAAATCCTTGCAGACCCTGGGGAAGAATCCTCTAGCTACTACCCAAAGAATTTCTTGGAAGATGACTCTGGTTTTATTATTGTTTCCTAATTCCTGGCACAAACCAGCCCTAAGAAGCAGAGGGTCGTGCTGAGCACCGTACCATTCCTAGTGTTTTGAGTGTCCTGAGAGACCCTTAGGAATTGCAAATGTCTTCACAACAACTTGTTTTGGAGGGAGAGAACTGTAAAGAGGTGGCAGCGTGCTCAGTCCCTGCTCCTTCCTGACAATCCCTGGAGGGAGCAGCATCCCACCACACACAGCCTTGAACCACGTGGGGAAATGGAGACCCAGGGTTTCCAGGCACTCTTTCTCCCCAGCCCAGTTTTTCAAGAGTGTGATGCCTTCCAGCTGGCCAAAGGGCACTGCAGCTCATCCACCTTGCAATTAAAGTGATTGGCTTCCAGTTTCCTCTGCTCTGCCCGCAGTTCTTCCCCACCCACCACCCCCAATGTCCTGTGCCATTGCCCTATTGCACCAAGGAAGGAAGAGAAGAGCCTAACAAAGGGAATTCCAGACAAAGAGAGTTGGGGCACCCATTATCCAGGTTTTAGGACATCAGGAATTTGGTAAAGGGGAAGAACTGTAGTGGGAGGACAGAGATGACCCAGGTCACACGTCAGCTCTCCAGGTCTGATGTGCTTCCACCTCCTCTGGCACCACCAATAGGAGTTCACAGTTCTTTCCTCTCAGCTGGTGTTTCAAAAATTTCCTGTCATAAAGAGAAATAGAAACAAATGCTACTGAATGTAGAACTTTATCATCTACAACAACAATTAAATATTATCTTAATCTCAGCAGAGATGAGTCTATATAGATGCCACTTTCTTACTTTCCAAGGTAAGAAAAACAGAATTAAAACCAAATTTAGTTTCTTCATATTTCCAAGATCAAGAATCCCACCTTAACTTTAAATAATTCCAACAAATCTGAGGGGGAAAAAAAAAAAAATTATTCTAAAAACAGAACACCCCATCATACAGATGTCCTTAGCAGCAGTGTACCACTTGATCATTTGACATGTTTTTTTAGCCCTTTTCTGCATGTAAGCTTTTTCTAATACCAGACTTGGATTACTTATAATAAATATGAAAAAAATCAACATTTTCTTCAATATATTTTGGTCCAATTTCCAAAACTCC